GGTGGCTGCGGCCGTCCCCACCGCCCGTCCCACGGGGCTGGAGTGCTTGCCTGCCCGGCCGGGGATTTTAAGCCCACTTGGCTTCAGCATGTTTGTTGTCTCCTGTAACTCAGGCTAATAACTGACGGTGTCAAAGAGCTGTCCCAGTGTCACGGATCAGGCTTCTCGATGATGGACCCTTCCTTCCATCGTCACAGACCTGGAAGAGAGGAGCAGAGCATGAGGAAAGTGGAATGGGCTGGGAGCACCGACGCAGCTTCCCCAGAGCAGTGCCCATCTCTCCAGGCACACGCTGGGGATCAGGCCAGCTGCCTTAGTCTTGTTTTTCTGCACTGCCTAAACCATGGTGACAATTTCCTTTCCTCTCCTATTTTAATGTCACGTTCTTGATCCCCAACATAGGAGACTCACTTTGATTCTGGATCAAAGCTGACACCCCCCCAAACCACCCAACAAAAACTTAAACTCAGTTTGGGATTTAAGTGTCTAAAATTATTGATTTGTTTTAAGTTCTAAAGGCTCAGCTCACGCATCAGTCAGGACTCAGTTCTACTGCTCTAGGCGGGCATCACTGGGGCCTTCACCAAAGGGATGCTCCAACCCTTCCCACTTGAGTTTCATTGCAGGCCCCTATTTCCACGAGACTTCAGCTTGGTCTTCTCAAGCCAACAGGAGCAAGTTCAGCCAAGGTCTGAGATGGGGCTTTCAGCTCCTCTCCTTACTTCAGATAAAAGGTGTCTGACCCCATGGATTTGCAATAAAGCTGAAAATCAACTTTCTGAAGTCCATGCATGGCTTTACCAACAGCTCTTTAGTGAAGTCGCAAGAGAGTCCCTTCCCGGTAAGGCAGCAGGAATAAAATCACCAAATTCCTTGCGAGCATTAACTAGCACACAGCTCCTCAAGCAAAAAAAAGTTTCACAAAAGAAAAATAAAAGAAAGGAAATGACTAAAGGTCTCAAGAAAAGAAGAAGAAAAAAAAAAGCATAAACATTGCTGATGACAAAGAAACGATTAAAAAAATGAGACCATCAGCCAAAAGGAAACCACAGTTGGCTGACTAAGCAGACTGGGACCTGGGAGAAGGTGCCCAGGATGAAAGCCAGGGACAGTGCTGACATTAAGGACAAAGGGAACTGGAAGAGGAGAAGAGCAAGGAAGAGCTGGGAGATGGGAGGATGCCCAGATCCGCTCCCAGGCCGGGATGGAAGACGGGACCGCAGCACTAGGAATTCGAGAATGAGCACGGCAGAGCCTTGCAGATGCTGCGGGAAGGGCAGGAAGTGATTAAGGCCTGAGTCAGGGTTTGAGCCGGGCTGGATCCCAGCACGGGCAGACTGGCTGCACTCCAGGGAAAGCTGCGAGCAGACACCGAGGAGGGGAAACCACAGGGAGAATTCCAAAAGTGTATTCCTGAGGGCTCGCACACATTCGAGAGACCAAAAAGCGTTTTGGTAACTGAGTCACTTGTCCCACAGCAGCTTAGAGACACACAGGAGGAGGGACCCAAAGTTGGAGAGTGAGGAGAGCCCCAGTGAAAACCCAAGGGCTTGAGTCCTTTCTCTCCCCCCATAAAGTACTCCCAAAAACTAGAATGGCTTCAGGCACTTACAGCCTGCAACATCTGGCAAGGATTTATCATGCACAGAAGCCAAGGCTGCTTGCAAGAAGCTGGATTCTTAGATCACATCAGCAGAAACAACAAACAAGAGCAACCAGATCTTGCTATAGAAGAGAGAAAACAGCCAGTGAGGACCGGGCGCTGCCAGAGCTGGACTCGGGGCTGCTGCCAGTTCCAGTCTGTTTAACATAACTCAGGGAGAAATTGTCATCTGGAAAGGAGAAGCTTTGCTCAACCTGCTTGCATTTCTGCCCGTACAGCGACCAAGCACCTTCTGCCCTCCCTCGTCCCCCTTGCCCACCTCTGCCACCTTCACTCTGACGTTTTTTCCCCACAAGCTGCGGAGCTTCTTGCGGCATTTGGGCTAAAAGAGCCAGGATGCCAGTTCCTCCAGACAAGACACAATAGCTGGGTTGAATCCCCAGCCCTGAGTCAGGCTCACATTAGGGAAAAAAAAAAAAAAAGAAAAAAGGAAAAAACAGGAGAGGTTTAAGCAAGGTGGAAGGGAAGAGAAAGATCTTACAGTTCCGCAGCCCCCTCATAAAGGGAGTCTCTTGATCCAGAGATTTGCAGCAAGGATCAAGCCTTGGGAAGGCAATTGGCTTAGCTGGCTGCTCTGGTTTGTTGCTTATCTCCAAAGGGACAGCAATGTTGGGGTCAGTGTCCCCCAGTCATCCAATATTCCTGAAGTTCAGCTGGCCACCTGGGTCACAGGATATCATTCTGCTCCTTCTTGGGATGCTGGATTTTATTTTTAAGCAGGAGAAGAGAGAGAAATAAGCAGAAGTGCCCTGTGACTGCACAAAGATTTCCGCCAACAACCCCCGTGCAAATGCATTTGCCTTCATTACACTGATGCCAAAAAACAAGGGAATCACAAGGGTGCCCAGTAAACTGCTCACCAAACTGAGAGCTGCTTTTATTCCAGCCTATAGCGACCATACACAGTGCTCTGTCACACACAGTGGGGCCTTCGTGCCACACATGATACTGAGGGGATTTCTCCAGGGCCACCCCAAGCACACCCAGCTATCCTGCCCCAGGTATGTTCACTACACGGGTCACATACAAAAAAACTCAATATGGGTTAACTCAAAATTTCATCTTCAATAGCCATAGAGGGATCCAAGCCTGGAAATGAGGACCTGTACACATCGTGCATGGCATGAGGAAGCAAGAATGAACTCACGTAAAGCTGCTCGACTACAAAGCTTGTCAGAAATACACACCTAAAAATAAATGTCTGGGCAGTTTTAAAGGGGTCTGTACGTACTGCTAGGGTCAGGCATGCAGGAAGTTTCCCCCCTGATTCAACATAAAACATAGGAGCAGCTTTGGAGCAGCTCCAAGTGCTTGGGACATCACATTACACGAGTGGGACATCACCACCCCCCAGAGGAACAGGGCCTGGCGCGATCCGAGTCTCACAGTAGCTTCCAACCAATTGGAGGAGCTTTGGGGTTGCAGAAAGATCCCAGATCTGGGACACTGGCCAGTATCTCCATAGAGCGCTGACCTGCTCCATTAGAGATAACTGCTTGTTCTGAGCTCCTGAGCTGCTCAACATTGATGCAGCTCGAACCTCCCACCAGGGCGGTTCAGAGCTAAGAGCCCTTCTGAGAAATCCCTCCCCAGCAGGAGATGCCACGCACAAAAAATACATTGCTGAAGGTAACAGACAAGAAATGTATTTTCTTATTCACAATATCATTTGCGCAAGCTGCAAATTACAGAAATGTGACCTTCTCCCAACAGTGCAAAAAAAAAAAAAAAAAAAAAAAAAAAAAAATCCATCTGACTCTGTAGATCCTTTGGGGCCACCAGCCTGGATTATTTTGCTTTTCTTCCTCTTCCAAGATGACACAGACTACGGAGATTTTCTAGATCTCTGCTGGATTCTTCCCACAATCTTTTCATACCAGGATGAATGGCTCTGTGTGTTCCCACAACCAAGAAAAACATCCCAGGAATGCACAATATCAGAGTCTGCTCAAAATGACCGAAACAGACTGTTCTCTGACTTCCCATCAGAAAGGGGGACAGCTGAATCCGAGCCACCTGAGCAGGCCTGCAGGCAAAGAGAAAGGTGAACAGCTTTCAACTCAGCAGAGACGTAGCTCCAAAAACTAACCTTGCACTTGAAGAGCAGAAGACCTGGGGGTGCCTCAACTACTTCTTGAATGGGACAGGGGGATGACACAAAACAGGCCAGAAGCAAAACCCTTGGCCAGTCCTGGTGACAGAGCCTCTGTGCAAGTTGCTCCCCTCCTGCCCTCTCCAGAGGGCAAAGACATCTGCTCACCACGAGGAACAGCACCCCGACCCGGGGACATGCGCTAGAAAACAACGGCACTGAACAAGCTGTGGATATCATAGAATCATAGAGTGCTTAAGGTTGGAAGGGACCTCTAGAGATCATCCAGTCCAACCCCCTGCACACGCAGGGTCACCTAGAGCACGTGGCACAGGACTGCGTCCAAGCGGGTTTGAAGATCTCCAGAGAAGGAGACTCCACAACCTCTCTGGGCAGCCTGTGCCAGGGCTCTGGCACCCTCACTGGTAAGAAATTTTTCCTTAAGTTCCTGTGGAACTTTTGGTGTTTCAACGTTGCATATACAATGTTGTGGCGGGATTCCTTATGTCATTAAACACACAGCCTAAAAGGTCAGTGCCACAACTTAGGCTTCTAAAATTCTAATTCCACATTTAAGGCACCCACATTTGCAGGACTAGGGCCCAAAAGAAAAATAACTGTAAAGAAAAGTAGCTACTAAACTCAAGTCAATCAAGGTCACCATGTTGCACGGAAGGTTAGTGATAAAAAGTATGCAGAGAAGCAGTAAAAACATTTTTGTGTTGTTTTGAGAGGTTTTTTTTTTTAAAAAAAAAACATAAACACCATCTCAACGCAAGCAAATAGTGACAGTGACTTTTAAAGATGATTATTTGGGTAGAAAAAGATTTGCGCAATAACTATTTTCTATTTTCAACTACACCCACCTAAGGCCCTCTTCAGAAACAACCACCTGTGTCCTCATTTAACAAGAGTTTTCCTCATGCCAGCAATAAGGATGGAGAAGACCAGGGATTAATACAAACCCTTTGGGGAGCACATCTGAAGTGGGAAGACGTGACAAGTTTCTATCATTTTTAGAGCTATCATAAGAGCATGAGGTGGGGCTCTACCCGAGCTCAGGCTCTGCATTTGGGGACAAAAGTGCAATCTTCAACAGGTTTCTGCCAATTGAAAACAGCACTACGGTGTCCTGTGTACTGTGTCTGCCGTTTGCAGAGCTGACAGCGATACCTGCAGGCTAATATACCCCGAGAACAAAGTGCTAGGGAAGATTTTGGCCTGCCAGCAGCCACAGAAGTGATGCATCTTGAGCTTGCTTCAATAAGACGACCAGAGAATAAAGGCAAAAGCTTCTAGTGCAACTGCCCTAAAAGAAAATGGTATTTCTAAAGTTACATAAATCTCTGCATTCCTTGTTTCTGAGCATTCTGGTATATTTGCCCCTTTTTTTGACCAGTTCTATACACTGCTTAAGGAAAAACAG